TGTCTCCGTGGAACCCCGTGCCTGCCGCATCCCAAGTCCCCAAGCCCACCGTGTCCCCTGTCTCCATGCCCTCCCACATCCCAGGTCTCAGGATCCCCCAGCCGGACATGCCCACCACATCCCCTTCCCTTTCATGCCCCTGCTCTCCATGCCCACCATGTCCCCGGTCTCCATGACCCCCAGGGAGACGTGCCCACCGTGTCCCAGCTCTCCCCATCTCCCTCCCACCCACGTCCCCAGCCTCCACGTCCCTGTCCCCATCATACCCCCACTCTCCCCATCTCCAGTCATCGTGCCCACAGCTCCAGGCAGCACACCTGGAGGCACCCACTGGTGGGGCTGAGCCCCCCCACCCCACCCGACCCTGCACCCAGCCCCACGGCACTGCCACCCTCGTCATCGCTTGGCACCCCACGTGCCGGCACCACGCAGCACCGGGGGCACGTCAGGGCAGAGACGGGGAACCTCCGCGTGAGCTGGTGCTGCCGGCGGGCAGGGAGAGGCAGATGCCTGCACCCCTGCCTGCACCCTGGGCCAAGGGCAGGGGCCCGGGAGCCGCCCTGCGCCGATGAGACATTTCCTTGGCCCCCGGCGTGGGTGCAGCCGGGCACGGCAGGGGAGACCCACAGCCCCCTGGGGAGGGGGGGCAGCACCGGCGCTGTTGGCACCGGGCAAGGGCAGGTGAGTGCAAACACATCACCCGCAACTGCAGGGCGTGCTACGGCACACGCATGTCCGGGGAGTCACGGGTAGGGAGATTTGGCAAGGACGCGCCTTGCGTGCGCACACGCATGTGTGTGTGTGCAGGCGTGCGTGCATGCAACCGCACCGATGCCCAAGCACGCGTGCGTGTGCGGGCACGCCAACGCATGCTCGCAAAGGTGTGCGGGCACGCGTGCGTGCAGGTACACCAATGCACACATACACACACGTATGTGCACGCTCACGTGCACGCCGGCACACTCCCACACGTGTGCACGCCCTCACGTGGTGCAGGGAGGGGGTCCCCGGCGGGTGGCAGTGGGGTGGCCGTTCCCTTCCCCTCCCCGTGGGGATGTCCACTGCCCCCCATTGCCCCCCCCACTCCATGCCGTGCCCGGTCCACGTCTGCCCTGTGCCACCGTACCCCGGGGTGGGGGGACACCCACACTGGTGGGGTGCATGGGGGGGACACGGTGCCACGGAACGGGTGGGCACAGGACCTTGGTGGGCTGTACCCGCTCCGGGAAGCCGAGACCAACCAGAGCATCTCCCAGGGGAGATGGGCACGGGGAGGACAGACAGGGCAACCCCCCCATCTCCATCCCGGTGCGGGGGGGGGCAGGCAGGGGGACGGTGCGGGTGAGCTCCTACTCACGTAGGTGCCGGCGAGGGTGCGGAGCTGGTGCTCCAGATAGCGGGTCAGGTCGTAGGTCTTCTGGATGGACTGGCCGGCACCCAGCTCCTCCGTGCAGTTGAGGGCGGGCAGCGCCGGCAGGTTGCAGAGCGCGGCGCACAGGAAGGTGAAGATCCCCCAAGAGTCTCCTGTGGGGACACGGTGCCTCAGGGAGGGGGGACACAAAGGGGAAGAGGAGGAGGGGGGGGCACCTCCTCCCACCCCTGGGCCTGGGGTGACAGGCTGGGGGTAAGGACCCCCCCCGGCACGACGGGCCGTTCTGTCCTTTGGCTCAGACACGGCAGCGCTGAGCCGTCGGGGATCCCCCCGGTGCCGCCGCCAACGTCACCCTGCGGGGCGACTCACCTGCGAGTGGGGAAACTGAGGCACGGGAGGGCTACGGGTGGGCACCCACACCTGCACCAGAGCAGCTTGGCACCTTCCCTGGCACAAGGCGGCTCAGCATCCCACCCTTGGCACGGCCGGGGCAGCGCCGTTAGCTCGGAGCGATGCTGCCGGCACGGCCGGTACGGCGGGGATCCCCGCCTTGCCGCGCTGACCCCGCCAGCACCGCCGAGCCCCGGCTCCCCTCCGCGCGCTCCCACCCGCGGGCTGCAGCAACAATCCTTTATATGGTCTGGAGCGAGGACGGCTCGCGGCGCTCCCGCCGGGACGGCACGGCCGGGTTATATTTGGGCACGGCGACTCGCCCGCCATCAACGCCGGAGAGGGCTGAGCATCCTGCGGGGCTGCCGGCAGCCCCTGCCCCGGCGGGGACCCCCGGTGACCCCCCCATTGAGGGGGACGGGACCCTAAAGGGTGGCCGGGGCGTGGGGCGACCTTTGCCGAGGCTGCCGGAAACCGCCAGCCGGGTCCCCGTCATCGCCCCTGACGTCAGGGCGGCCTTATGAGCTCCGGCCTCGTTAGCCGGCGGTTGTGCAAAGGTCACGGCCCGCGGCCAGGATGCTCCGGGCCAACTGGCACCTCTCGGCACGTCAGAGCCGGGCTTCCCGGCAACTCCTCCGCCGGGAGGACCCACCGCCGGCACGGCTCATCACCGCAGGGTTCGGCGGGG